CTGGATGCAGGGGAATATTTTTAATAATTTTCCTGTAACACAACTTTCATTAAGATAGAAATATTAATTTATATAATAATAAAATCCGTAAAACATTCTTACGTTATTAATGGATTCAAGATGGCATGATAACTGCGACACATAAATTGTACTTTTATAAGAGTATCTAATAAATGTTCTGTGGAATGTTCTACAAAAAGTACCCAATCATTTACTATATGATAAATTAATTGTAAATAAAATAAATCTTGAATACATACCAAGATAAACATATAAGCAAGAAATAAGTCTAGCACAAATTTTACCCTGATCTTCCTTAGTTTTTTTTGATGCTTTTAATTCCATATCTATGTATATTGCCAGTAAGTCTGACATATAATTAAGATAAATACATCTATCATGATTCTGTAAGATATATTTTGTTTAACAAGAAATTTATTTAAATATAAATTTTTAAACTCTTAGTTATTTTAGTTTTTATATTCTTACCTCTGAAAGCATACGATAAATATATAAGAATAAAACTAAGGTATCACTAATAGAGTCTTTCAACCGTGCTGCCCATAGAGGTCTTGTATAACATTCATTTATACTGATGCTTATATTTCTGTAATAAGAAAATAGCATCTACTTTTTTATCTAATCTTTCGTGAACTAAATAACAAATTGTTACAAATATTAAAAAATTATAATAAATATTCTTATGTAATTATGCAAATTTTACTCGAATATATCGGATTTTAATCATTATGAATATCATTAAAAGCTATAAGGTCATAATTGAAAACTATGTAAAACACGTGTTTGTGTATATATTACTTTTATTATATATATCACACAATCACATAATGCTATTATTTTTAGACTATTATTTTTAAAACCAGTTCTCAGATAATTAATACTGGTTATAAAATTAAAATATAAATTTTTTTCATAAAAAAATATAATTTATGTATATTACCTCATATAGTACTGCATAAGCTCTGTTAAAGAAGACATATTACAATCCTTGTATATAACTTTACACATTTTTCTAAATTCAAAAATCCATGGAAATAAATTTGTTGTTAAAGATTTTGTATCTTTGTCCATCATATTTTCTTGTTTTTTGTTAATTGTAGCTTTCTTTATATCTATATATCCGTAACAATGTAAGTGTTAATAAACAATGTAAAACATTCCATATTAAAAAACAAGTATTTGAAAACATTTATAAACAATATGTAATGCAATAATGTTAAATCAATAATTTTTTATATTAATTAATTTGGTAAATATCATTTGATATAAAATTATTTTTCTTTGTAATAAATATAATGTTAAAATATTTTTATTGAAGAAATAAATCTGTAGAATTTATACATTTCTCACCCATAGCACCAGAACGATATAAAAATAATCTTGAATTTAACCACAATAGAACATAAAAGACAATACAAATAATAACAAATGATAAATACGAATTATAACGAGTCTTCGTTCTGAAAATCTACATAATTTTATGTTAAAAAGATTTTCAAAATGAATATACTTTTATGACTCCACAATGAATACATAATTCTCCAAATCGGAATATGATAGAAGAATAAAATGTAAAAGAAACAAACGAGAAATTGTATTGATCTTCCACGAGAAAACATATCACGTTATTGAGTCAACGTGTGATGCTTACGAATACTGAAATACAAATAAACATGTGGGATATTCAAGCAAACGGATAAAGCGTCGTGGGAGATGTATAAAAGAAAACAGCGTTACCTTGCTTCGGGATGTTCGCCACTGTACTATTGGTCGTGCTTGTGGGAGTCTCCATTGCGGTAACGTTTATGTCGAATAGTCACCTCTGTTCGATCGTTTATATTACGTAAAATTATTCTCTATGATCATGGCACATCTCATGTTAGGAGAGAGTTCGAAGCAAGTTAATGCAACAGCATCCTCTCACGAACTGCGTTCTCGGCAACAACCATATTGATACTACCGTTTGTCGCGACAACCGTAAGAGAGCGTCGTACGTGCCCTCTCACATTACTTCTTATATCTACCTATGACTACGTATTTGTACCTACACATGTATCTATAAACGATCATGATACTTGGCCTACATACTTTATATTGTACGTATATCCTGTGATTTAATTTCTATCTGCGCGTCGGTGTGTTGTGTATCACATTACATTTAAAGCAATACGTTGCGACACGTTAATTATTCTTTTTTTATTATTAAATTTATTTTCATGTTATGCATTAAATAATGCTGAAGAAGTAGATAAAAACGAGAATGCACAATGATTCATGGTCACGAGTCTTGCATGCTGAAAATTGTTGTTTTTAGTACTGTATGAAAAAAACTTAAGCGCACAAAACTCTCCGTTTGTCGAACGATGCGACGAAATACTTTTAGAAAGGATTTAACGATAGTACAAGTAAATCAGCCAATAGCCATATGGTTTGACGTTCAGACGCACCAATCATGATACACGCTACATAGTTGGCTATCCTGTGGGGTATCCAATCGGATGCAAGCAATTAAGAAAATATAACACACGATGCACATTTGACATGTATGTGTATATATATATATATGACTTTTTTCATCCTTTTTGCAACTTTTTTCAGTTCTACTATAGAGAATCGGGAAGTACATTTTGATGTTAACAATTTGTAAATATGCGATTAAAAAAGAAAAGTAAAACGACAAAGCATAATTAGTTGTTCCTCACTGTTTTTCACGGTTTTTATAAAATTGTTTAATAGATACATGTGAATAAAAAGGATGCTGCAATTCAATTTATGTTGAACAGTCCAAAATATTCCTAGATGGTATATTTTTGTCTATATATATATGTGTGTGCGTGTGTGTGTACGTGCGTGTGTGCATGCGTGCGTATGTGTATGTATGTGTGTATATATGTATATATGTATGTATGTATGTATGTATGTATGTATGTATGTATGTATGTATGTATGTATGTATGTATGTATGTATGTATGTATGTATGTATGTGTGTATATATGTATATATGTATGTATGTATGTATGTATGTATGTATGTATGTATGTATGTATGTATGTATGTATGTATGTATGTATGTATGTATGTATGTATGATGTATGAAAGTACAAAAGTAATATTTTTACGTATTATACGAGTATCGATAGATCTACAAAAAAGTTTCTGATGAAATTATTGTTACTGTATCCTATTTGAATTATTATAAAACATGTTATAATTTTACTTACTAACTGGAGTACAAATTTATTTTATTTTTTTTAACAATACTTTGAATAATTTGTCTAATTTGTATATAATATAGTAAAATAGAATTTTATCTTGATATATGCTACCTGAATGGGTTTCACAATGTTATGAGAATAATTTTGCTCGATTCGATGATATTATGTATGAAATGTTAGTATCACGAAGTTCTTTCGGTATTGAAATATAAAACACATATTTACGAATATTGGTTCGAAGTCGAGAAACGCCAACAGAAGTTGAAACAATACAAATTATTGTTGCTTCGAAAGATTTTCTTGTTGCTCGGTGTTTTTATGCAATTACACATGGAAGTATGGATTTATGTTAAACATTTTGCGTTAAAAATTCAACATTTAAATTGTATCCTCTATATCAAAAAAGTATGCTTAGTAAAGTAATTGATAAAATACGTCTTTTATAATGATCATCCCAAGAAAACTACGTAAGAATCTCTCTAAACTCTACATATACTCGTTTGTCATGTGTGTCTCTTGTATCTTATCTTATAAATAGTTTCTTCCTCCCTCATTCCTTATTTTTCGTTTTTATTGATGCAATCTTCCAGATATTCAAATACAAACTTTCAAGCCTTAAATCTTTGAACGTTGATTTCTCTCCCGATTTTCTTGCTTTTCCTTAATTGTTCAACCTATTTCGCTTAAAAATGTATAAAATGTATTGCTACTCTTAAAGCGAGCTTAGTCAACTTCTGTACTTTATCGAACCAAAGTAAAACCTTCAAATATGTAATCACAAAAGATTAATTTCATTTTAGGATATTCTGGAAACTTACATTTATTTTATTTCTCAGTTTGTTAATCGTATTCCTTAGGAACAAAATTAAAATTTATACATTTATACCCGAAAATTATGCTAATATATATTTATAAAATTTATAGCTTCGACAAATTAACGCATCTTTATTACATTTTTAGATTGTACCTTGATTTATTTTTATTCCATGTCATTATGCAACGTAAATATGATTTATGTATTTTTTTTTAGCTAATAAGAATTTTCATTTATTAACTCTTTTGTTTTTCATTAAACTTTTTGTTAAGAATAGTCACACAAAAAAGACAAAAAATTTACAAATATAACTTTGTTTTACGATAGTCTATATATTATAAAAAAGAAGTAAGAAATGAAAAGTTAAGAAAGAAATGTAATAATTAAAATAGGGGAGAGGAATGACAGTGTACGCGGATGAACAAGAAGAATGAAGAGAAAATATTGATAAAAGAAAAAAAGAAGGAGAAGTAGGGGCGTAAGAGTGGAAAAGGAAAGCAAGTTTTGAAGAGCGCTTGCGCCCATTTAATGGAAACGTTGGTTCTCTCGGTCGTTGTCGGTGATCTTTCGCCGCCACCGCCGCCAACACTCGGATATTCAGCCGGTGTTCAGGCGTGTCGCCCACTTTGGGCTCAGTGAGCCGGTGTAGGAGCGCCGCGACGCCTAAAACAGAGCAGCTTTGACTCTACGCTGTCGTTGTCATCGTCGTCATCGTCGTCATCGTCGTCTATATTTTCGTCATTGTCGTCCTCGTCGGAAAGCGACCGTATCGATACCAACACTGTCATCGTAGTTGCCACCGCCTTTTCGTCGTCTTTCTCCTCATTTTCGTCTTTGTCGCCCTTGTCATCATGTTTGTCGTTCACGCTCACATTTTGCACCCGATTTTCACGTTTTTATTGTTATCCTAACGCGTTGTCTTCGCCACGAAATCACCGCCACCAACACCATTACCACTACCAGCAGCCAATATCATCGCCGGGTTGTGTCTTACATCATCGTTTAACCGATCATAAAAACGCGAAGCAGGTTACACATGCGATCATCGTATTTGGTGTACCGCGAGCTGCCGACGGGGAGGTGATAGGGTGAGCAAAAGAGGGAAAATATATTTATGTATCGCGTACAGTTACAAAGAGAGAAAGGGAGGGGGTAATTTGGATGGAAAGAGTAGCAGAGAAAATATTTGAATCTTTCTTATTTTTCTTCATTATATACCTATTTTTCTTTTATTTTCCATTATGTCATCGCTACACATATCTCTTATTCAATATTTACTCCGTATCAATGTCCCTATCTTGAGGTGATCGGTTCACGTGTCTTGAGATAATCAGCTCGCGACGTGTGCTTCGTCTCTCATCGTGTTTTCGTGATGTTTTGAACTTAAAGACATATAATTAGACAATACTTACTTTCCGAGAAGTGGGAAAACTTTGCATCTTGTAATTAGATGCAAACATGGGGATTAATCTTTTGCCACAAGAGATATATTAACCAATACACCATTTGTAAACTTCATTTGAAATGTTTCTAATATTGATTTATACAAAGAATTATAAATTTTCATGAGATGAAATTATCAATACATGTAAAATTATTCGATCAATGATTTAAAAAGACAGAAGGAGAAAGACGTTACAGCCATTGTACTCGTTTGACATTTACTTCATTGGTAGAATACACATTCGTACTAAAAGTATTGAGTATCTCGTTCGCGTGACTTCACTCGTCTTCTTTCTCATCTAACCGCAATAAAAAATGAAACAAATATAAAAAAAGAAAAAAGAAAGAAAACAGAGAGAGGGATGATAATGTGATCTTTTATGGTTCATGATTTTTTTCACGAAAGGCGCATCGTATATGATAATGTTCGAATAAATGAAAGGAATTTTTTCTTTTTTTTTATGAAAGATTGTTGGAACATAAGCGTAGCATAAAGCTATAATAAATGATGTACATTAGCCATATCTAATTAGTTCAGAACTAATTCAAAGGATTAGGCGTTTTCGAGATAACTAATGAATTGAATTAAAAACGTTACATAATTTGTTAATCTGTGAATAATTATTTTTATTTGAAAAATTTTTATTTAAATGAAAAGTACTCTATTCTGTATTCATTCGGCATATCTATCAACTTTTAATTTTTAATTTTCTTTTCTTGAACGAATTTTATCTGGAAAATATCGATCAGCTGGATACGTCAAATAAAGACAAAGAGAATAATAGTACCTGTTGATTCCGAGATATAATTCATTGATGCGTAAAGATTATATTATGATTTCTAATATGTTTGCTATCTTCCTGTTTCATTTTGTAACGATAGATACGTATTTACACTTTAGAAACAACGTTCGTAATCTTTAAGCGGTTTTTCGATTTCTTTTCTGATCAATCGAAAATTACAAATTTTAAAAGTGGAACTAAAACTTTCATAGTACTTGTTACATATGTCATAGTATATAGCTGTTTGTTAAAACTCGAGAATAAAGAGCGAAAGTTCATATATTATATGCTCAATATAGTGAAGAAAAATTTCCGGACGTAATTCGTCACTAAAGGATAGTAGATCTTCAATAGATAAAGTATACTTTTCTGCGATCTGATTGAGTAATTTTAAATTAAACAAATGTTAATATCTAACTGAAACATGACATTTCCTTGTCCCCGAATGATGATTTGATAGGGTAGAACGAACGAACGAGACTTTTAATAAAATATTTATTTTTATAAAGATTATCTGCTGCTATCATGCTATTCATCCGAAACGCGCTTATGAATATAATATTAAAATGATAATACGGCTGTGAAATTTATACACTTTTATGCATTAGTATGCAATAACTATTTAATTACAAAGATATTGTCATGAATTATTAAACATAAATTATTAAACTATTACAGAAGAACTTACGAATTATCTAAGGTAATTAAAATTTGTAGCTTGGAGCATAGAAATGTGGACTCGTGGAAACTCGAAGATTAGACAATTCACATATATGCATATCTCCCATACCAATAAAGTGTGATATTTCATTTATTCCATCGATAAATTGTTGGGATTTTTGCATTAACGATGACAATTTTTCTTGTCAACACGTCGATTGTCACTGTCATTTTTTGAATGTGTGGAAAGTTTCCTCATATGGCGATCATCAAATTCACACAAAATTGGTGTGACATCAACGTTTTTCTTGCGCATACGAGAATGAGAGAAAGGAAAGTAAATATTCAATAACTAATTCGTAAAATGCAATGTGCGACCTGACCAGACTCTGGACCGACATTCAATCGGATTGTCCTGATCTACGCGTATGCTTCAAACACTTCAAACGTTCCGAACTTGGAAAATGCTCCGCTGGCGAAGCAACGTTGGGAGAAGGTGTATGATACACATCAATATTAAAGATCTCCATTCAATGATTTTATGGACCTGCCGATATCTTAATTTTTTGGCTTAAAAGAACACTCTGCCAGGTGAATCCGCAGTGATAACTACTTTGAAGTAAGCGGTGAGTATTTTCCTTCTATTTATTATCGTTAACAAAATTCTATGATTACATTGCTAAATCTTTTTTTTTTAAATCAAGACTGTAACGTAGTTTTATTTTATTTTAATGTAAAAAGGAGGAACTCTCATCATTGTACCTAGATATCGTTTTGTGTTCCATATAAACTTGAATAAGGCGATAATAATTGAATGATAATCTCACGTGCACCAATAAACAGAAACCCGGAATAGGTTGATTTACGTTTGACAACAGCGAAATAAATCAAACATTATTCAATAATCTCCTTGGAGATCAAATCTGTCCCCTGCATCCTTTGGCTCTTGCTTGCATCAATTTTCTTGCTTACGTCATAATGAATAATGAAATTCGATGAGTCATGGTTCGCTTAAGGACGCGAATATACTCGTCTTGACATCAAAGAGTATTTGCCGTTATTAAGTCTACAGCACTACTATATGCAGTATGAGGAAGGTGTTCATCCCATTCAAGTACTGTAGCTTAACAGTTCGCTTTGCAAATGGATAGATATTTGAATTTCTCCGTAATTCTTAAATTGGTAATGAATGTACCATTCGATTTTCCAATTTATATCGGTTACTTAAAAGAATTCATAATTTTAATTTTTAATGTTTAAACGATTTTATAGATACGTGTAAAGATAATATAAATATTCTGATATTTTTAATCGATCGAGGATGTTTATTTTCAATTTAATTCAATATTCTTCTGTTGATACAAATGAAGTTAATAAAATAGTTCGTAGATAAATACGTACGCGATATAGGAATTTGTGCGAGGGTGGAAAACGTTGGTTAAAATCCAAACACGTATATACATCGTTAGAATACCCTTCTTGCAAGTTCATGCTGTTTAATATTTTACTTAATATCGTTGCGTAAATACGAAAAAAAATTTAGGAATTACATATTTTATACTCCACGTAGGTTTATTTCGCCATCTATTCTCTCTTTCTTTTTTTCTCTCTCTCTTTCTCTCTTTCTCTCTTTCTCTCTCTCTCTCTCTCTCTCTCCTTCTCTCTCTCTCTATTCTTCTCTTTTTCATTTCCCCTTTGTAGACCATCAAATCTGACCGAAAACAATAAGACGTACTTGTCTTTCTTTTGGATATTGTATGACCGCTAGTGATACTGAGAAACAATATATATAATATATATATATATATATATATATATATATATATATATATATATAGTATGTGAATGTGAGTAGATTATGAAACGAACTACAAATACACACACATATGTATAATAAGCATAGCACTTGCAATTTTTTTTAATCGCTGGTTACTATTGATTCGTGTTTAATTGCTTCCGTATCTTACTTTCCATTAGAAAACAATCAAAGAAATTTTGTAATACGTCATTAATATGAGCGATTCCACACCATTTTTCTATTATATTTTTGTATATAAATTATTTATCTATACATTTTTATTATTCTAATGATAACCTTTTTATTTGAAATAATTTCTTTTATTTTTTTGGTTTTCTGAAAGAGTGATCGTACGTTAGGAAATGTACTGGTAGTACGAAATTATCAATAAAAGATAGTAATTAGATCATAAGAGTAAAAAGATAAAGAATTTCAGTTCCAACATTTGATTATCGGCACCCTTACAAAGATTGATCCAATTTAGTTGTTTTTTCATTTTTCCTATCACGAAAGCATCGTTACGAAAAAAGAAGTTGCTAATGCCATTCGTCATGCGCCTTCTTTCAGCAATTCTTTACATTTCTCACTGAATAACATTGGTATCTACGGATGGCAGATTAATTCGAACACAAATTCGCGAAATCAATGGATAAAATAAAACCAGTAGATCTTTGTTTTTCTTCTCCAATGATTCGCCGCGAATTCATTAAAGCGGCTAGTAGTATTTTTAAAAATGTTATTGCAAAAGCCACAATTTATATATATCTACGTATGCCTAATAACATGGTAAACAACTTATGAAACACGAGAGCGTTAATCCACTGGATTAAATCACGCTAGCCGTAAAGTTAAGCCAGAAGAGTAAAATAATAGAAAAGTTACAGCGCTCTACCGTCGAGTGACCATCTGAATAAGAGATTAAATTACACGCTATGCGTTTCTGAGATAGAAGATCGTAAAGGAGAGAAAAGCCTTTGAAAATTGATAAACTTCTATGTGCGATTGCTTCGTGAATAATTTTTAGTTATGCCGATAACGAATTATACTTTTAAAATAAATACATAGATAAGAATATATATCTACGAGTACAGATATATATATGATATAATATGTATAAAGTAGGTATGTAAATAATATATATATATATATATATATATATATATATATATATATATATATATATATATATATATATATGGTACTTCGCAGTCCCCTTTGTCACATAACACGGAGGACAAGACACACGAACAAAGAAGTGACCTTTGAATGCGTTCATACGCATTGGCGTCCACCTGCGACCCCCTGATGCGTTAACTTCCGTCGCGACGTTTTTAACATATTCAAGCGAGCTCAGGCTTCCTTTCAAATGCTTTACCAACTCGCGCAAATCCCATATGTGTTCTCTCTTCCTCGATGTTTTCACATACGTTATCAAAAAGAAGAAAAGAAAAGAAGAATAACAAAAAAGCAGCCTCTCTTTGAAAATTTCTGACTCAGAGCCAAACGCATAACTCTATTCTCTTGTTCTTGCAATAAAAACATAAATTAAGAGAGATTTTTCTTATCAAAATGACTAATAGTACTTCCGCAACATTTGGTATTATCTGATAGATATAATATATTAATTAATATATATTAGTAACTTGATATATATTAGTATTTATTACACTTACATCTTAGACTAATAATATTATTTCCTCTATTTCTATTTTACAAGAGAAAATATCATTTTGTAAGATATAATGATATTCATATGTTGGAAACATTAATTGTAAAAAATAAAATATAATAATATAGACTATTACATATAACAAAGATAAATATAAAACATAAGGCGTTTGACAAAAAAACGTCGATCACCAGAGAATTGTTCTATTATGGTAAAACTTATATACATAAAAAATATTAGAATTTGTACAATTAGTAGTATTAGTACAAATTCTAATAGTTACATAAATCAAGAACCACGAGTAATCTAATTATAAAAATACATGGATGACAGAAGACATATGGAAAAGAAAATTCAACAAACACCACTTTGACGTACTCGATATACTTGGACGTTTAATTTGAAAGTTAAAACATTTTCGCGTTTCGATCGTGTAAGACCTATATTGTACATCTTTTCTTCAGTCATCGTAAAAATGTACTTTAAAATAACGCGACGTCAAGCGGACAAACCGCTTTCGTCGTAGTTTCGAGTGCTCATTAAAAGCGACGAGCCTCTATGGAGCCTTATCGTTTCCAACCGGCGGGATCTTCGTTAGAAGTACTCAGCCTTTCTTACAATCGTTCTCGATACGCGCTTACGATGCAAATCTTGAACCTTATTGTCCTCCTTCGACATTCTACTATGTCGATGGCATGCACAATGTTAACCTTTGAAAGTGTGAAATACTTGTTTGTCTTATGTGCTTATATTCGATATAAATTCGTGTGTATACGCACTTCTGTACTTACTAATGTGCATATACAAATTATAGTTAATTAATTGAACTTGTATAACAGAAACACATACCGATGCTCAAAAAGTGAAATGTCCTATGTGATAATCCTAAATTCGCGAAGCCATGTCTGATTTTTATGCCTTTTATAGATAATATACTTCTTGAATTTTTGCGGTTTGAATTAATGATAAATGATAAAATTTCTTCACCGTTGATCAATTGGATTCACTGATTTCGATGAAGCATATCTACTCACGAAAAAGAATCTCGATCATATATACAGTAATCGATGTTATATCTCTATTACAGCATCTACTACATTAAGAAAAAAAGTTATTTATTATGAGATTAAGAAAAAAATTTTAAAATAGCTAGTGTAATAAATATTCTGTTTGTTCATTAACTTCGCGTGCTTAAAGACAATTAATTATTGGAGTACACTTATAACAAGTAATTATTACCTGTGCATTCCTGAGACAGAATTAACATCACAGTAGATTGCGTGTTGTATATGAAAAGAAATTAAATTGACAAGAAATTTAAATGTATGTATATATATGTACTCTTTTGCATTTATTTACACATGTATTAGAAGTCTTATCAGAAAAGACTAACTAATTATTTAATTTATTTTACTCTACACTGGTCGACTTCTGACAAAAATAAATATAAAACTATACAATCAATAATTATGACCTTATCAAGACATATTTTATTTCAAGTAAGATAAAAATCTATCTTATTAATTTGATATAAAATTATACAATTTATTTTACTCTACACTGATCGCGAAGATAAATATGGAACTAGACAATCAATAATTATGATCTTATCAAGACACAGTCTATTTCAAGTGAAATAAAAATCTATTTTATTAATTTTATGTAGTCTCAAATATAAATGCAATTATATGATGTCAAATTTTATAATACGTTGCGTGATCGAAAGGAGAAAAAAGCAACGCACCCTATCGCAAACTCAGACCATAGATATTTTTAGTGGTCCTTCATGACGCAATCGCGTTAAATGACGCGGTAAGTAAACCTAATGGAATTGGAAGATCAATGTGATGTTCATCAAAATCTATAATGCCATTTTGTGAAGTTATTGTGATTTCCATTTGTATTATTAAATACATCGATATTATTCGTCACTGATGCTTTATTGAAAGAAGAAAAAAGAGAAAACAAGAGTGAACAGAAATAAAAGAGAACTAATCATGATTTTTCGTTTATTAAACTTAAGTCTAAATTTGGTGTTTAAAATCTGTTGGTGATATTTTTAGTATATATAATGAACCATATTGTGTAATTAGTTTCATTTATTTTTAGATTTGAAAAATATGTAATTAAAAACAACACAAAGAATATATCACGATTCG